TATCTACTGTCTTTGTTCACTGGATTAAAGTTCAAAATTCACTCTTCAGCAATCCTAAAAATTACAATAAAGCATAGACTGTTGCTCAGGCATTGGGCGCTTCACCATATCATAATTTTCACCTTGTTTCTATCTCCAACCCATCATATAACAATTTGAAGGCTTCCTTCAATGATTATTATGTGTGCCAGACTCAAAGTACTGAGAGCAGTCATGGAACCAGACAGCTCTCCCACCATTTGCTAACCTATACAACATAGTAGGTTTGTTTTTAAAAGACTACAAGTAGTATCTGTTAGTTTAACAACAGAGCTTCTGGAATAATGATAACTTTCTAAACCCTATCACTATTCCATGTTCATATATGTATATCTATCTACACACATACAATTATTAACAACTCCCTCCATCTGCATTTTCAGTTATGTTTTGTCCATTTGAACTTGGGGGGGGGAGCAGATATTATGGGAAGAAGTCACCCCTGCTGTGAAAGTACCATTCCTTCATTCTGTTTGAAAGTTCCCTGCTAGTTATGGTGCTCGAATAACATGAAAGCATTTTAGTAACTATGTGCTTTTCACAATAGCTTTAACCATAGGTGTAGGTTGCATATCTATATCTGTATGCAAAAAATACTGAATAACAGTACATTTGACTCAGACTTCCATCTGTCCTAGGTCGGTAAAATGAGGACCCAGATACTTGGGGCAATATGCTGACTCTGTAAACCGCTTAGAGGGCTGTAAAGCACTGTGAAATGCTATATAAATCTAAGTGCTATTGCTGTTTGGGCTCAGAGACAAGTGTTATGTGCATACTTATATACACAGTGGAAATAAAATAAATAAATAAATAAAATAAATTGCTGCTGTGTTCTTCTCTTACTCCATAAGAATTAGGACACATATTAGAAATTGACTAGGTATTTGGTATTGGAGAAAACTCTTGAGAAATGACAACCAAGAAAAGAAAAAAATGGATCATCAAATAAAACAATGCAAAATTCTTATGTGGCTTAGCTGCCTTAATTTGATTCTGTTTATTCCAGTTTGTTTTAAAATTCAGAAGCAAACCTAAATCACTAAGATTCAATCTATAAAGTCTAATGAAGAAACATCAAAGATCCATTTTATTTATTTTTTGATGGCATGAGATAAAAATAATAGGGATAAATAGGCTCTCCAGAGCCTGTTGTTTCTATTGAGGATACCTTCAATTGTTTCACTGCAAGAAAGCTGAGGTAGTAGGAAAGTAGAAAAGACATTCTTAAAATTATCCAGCAGGGAACCTGCTGTGCTATTTGAATTTCAAGTGTTTAACCTAAGCTTCTATTTTTTTTTATAGTCACATCTGTTGTTGGAAACACCCAGAATTTAATTTTGGATGAAAGCACTGACCTGGGTGCACAACAGAGATTTAGTTAAGGGGGGGAGGGGGGTTTAAGCTCTCTCAGCTCTGCTAGCTGGATTACTCCAAGATACAGCAGACTCTCTTTAGTTAAGAGATTGCTGCACTCAGTAGGAATTCCACTAGCAAAGGTTCTTTCAACAATTTTCAGTATTTGCTGATTGTAAAAGTCTCTCTCCCTGAGCTAACAGGTAAGATCTATGGAGGAAATGACATGGGTGTTTTGTCTTGAAGCACCCCAAAAACTAGAAACTTGCACTCAACCAGAGTGCCTCAGGGCCTCCAGTTTGTTGTACTGGTCATAGGCCTGTCTTTAATTTGTATCTTGCAAAAGGCTCTATGTTGGATATGATGTTTTGTTCCTTGAAGGAGGCGTCTCTAAGTCTTTTGAGAGACAGATCACCCTTTGGTGAGTTTTAGACTAATAGCTGCTACAAACGTCTGGCAGAAGGGGAAACGAACTAAAATGATCCAACCCAGGCACTTGATATAACTAGTTTCCTGTAGGCACTTGGAGAACATTTGTCACTGGTGTTGTTGAAATCTTGGGTGATCTCCTTGAAAGTCTCACATAAGCAAATCTCCCTACAGCACAACTCACTTGGCTCAACTAGTGGGCCAAGTCCATTTCTTCCTTAAATAGAAAAAAAGAGAGGCAGAGGACAGCCTCTGAAGATGAATGATGACTGCTATTCACTAGATCCAATGTGTAATAGAAACGTAATTTCAGACAGCCTTTGGTGTCCTGATCCTCTTGTTACTTTTTTGTCACTGCTTTCACTTCTCCTTTGTGTAAAATAATCAGGAGGAGAAGCTGTATTCGGAATGAAGATGACAAAAAATACAGTAGGTGACAGAGAGAAGGAAAAAGGAACTGAGAACATGCAAGATCACACTGGCCAGCCATAAGAACACAGAAGCTAGTTGGTCAAACTCCATGTTTCTTAGATTTCTATCCCACTTTCCACTTGTGGCAGCTAGTAATTTTAATAATTAAACTGAATATATTAAGATTAGTAAAGATACATTTTGGCCAATAGCAGAATGTTGCTTACAATCTCTAAATCTATAGAAATTCAGACCAAATGTATTCTATAGCCTGTCACTGAAACTTTAAGACATATTGTCCCAAAGGTGCTTTTTTCCCAAAAAGGCAACTGGACTTTTTTTTTGGGGGGGGGGGGAATGTTTAGTTTCTCATCTTCAGTTCAAAACTGAGGAGAATTCTTGTATGAGAAGCGGAATGTTTTCAAAGAAAAAACACAAGAAATCCAGATTCCCTTTTGGAAAAAAAAAGTACCTTTGGGACAACCATGACCCGAAGATTCCAAATCTCCCTAGACATATAGGACATATTCTATGCTGTTTTATACTGACACTTGCCCTTAAGATGATAATGACTACACTTCAGAGATTGTGAAAAAGAATAGTCTGCTGAAAGATTAGACGTTATCTCTTTCCATGCCCCAGCAGTGCAAGTTTTCTGTTAAGCAGAGTAATGTTTCAACTACATTCTTCTCTTCATGGCAACAGAATTCATATACAAGGTGTGTGTAAATTATAAAGCTGGAATCTATCATCCTGGCTGCCTTTTATCCACAGCCTCCATGATCAAACTGCAGATTTCAGTGACTCCTAACAGAAATTCACTTAAACCTCAACATATACAGTTAAGCATCTTTATGCCAAATTTAATACATACTTTTAATGTGCAACAGTTTTAAAGGTATAAAATGAATATGGCTGGTGCAGAAGCCTGGTACCTCCATTCAGTCAGCTCTTTGTACTACCTCCTGTAGCAGAAATAACAGCTTCCAGAAATTTCCTATAGCCACCTGAACTAATTTAATTTACTTGAGAAAAATTGGAAATGGCTCTTGATTCCTGAAGATGAACTTGCTCACCCTTTCCCAGATACAGAGAACATAGGATTGATTCCAGAGACGATTACTGTTAAAGAAGTAAGATAGCTGCATAAGCTGCAAAAATGTCCGGACGGAATGAACTTTTGCTTGTTCTAGAACTAGTACTAGCTCAAGATCTAGAAATAGATTAGTAGTGCAGCAAATGTTGTGATGAAAACTTTTCCCTAGTTTTACCTTCCAATAAGGGGCTCATCTAGCTGCAAATCATGGCTTATGGCTTGAATCATGGCTTCTTGGCTTTAATTTTTGAGGTCATTTTTTGTCATTTCTTTTTTAACTTTCTGACAGTTGTGCCAGCAAAGCTATCGAGCTCTGGAAGATCACATCATGCAATGCTGCAGAGAGCTCAAATGGTTGAATCTCAGAAACCACAATGAGGAAATGGCAGGCAGGCAGTGAAGCAGAACAAGTGAGTCACAGATTTCGGTGTTGTCAGTGTTCCCCCACCCACCCAATAACGTTTTACATTTTATTTCATGGTGACTGGTTACACATTCTCTTCCTGGTAATTTATACAATAGGTCTTTACCTGAGAATTGGTACAGAATGCCAGGGAAAGGTATGTTCAGATATAGTGCGTCCAAGTGGCATGTCAAAAAGCAAACAACACAAGCTAATGTTAACTGTTTCAAAGGGGGAAACAATCAACCTGTCTTGAAACTGAAATATTTAAATGAATACATTGAATCTCATAACAATGAACAGAGAAATTATTTCAAATTGTACTAAAATTGGGAATTCCTTATATGGATCCTCATGTCATGCTTTCCTAACATTGAAGCAGAATTTAGAATATGAGAAAGCAAAATGAACACTTAAAAACGAAGGCCATATGTTGCCGGTCATATTCTACTAAGAAATGTTATTTTTATTGTTGAATGTGCTGACAGTCAATGTTGCATTATTGATCCATGCATATTTATACATGGATTTTATGTGTCAGGATGCAGTACTTTGTGTGCATGAAAATGTGTATTAGTAACGCATCTACTTCAGTTAGCATCCATCCCATCTTAGTGGTACATAAATTCATCAGTTGGAGATTTTTTTTGAGTTTCTCATTTAATTTCAAGAATCTATATCTTAGTTTTCTTTAAGGGATATCTTTTACATTTTGCTAACGATTTCCCCCAATATGGCTTTTGCAATCCCACAACAATCATACATTCGCTCTATGTTTGTACATTTCATTGGAAAATTAGGACTTCAGTACTTAAACCTATCTTTTCTTTTCATATTCCAGTTGGGGAACTGCAAAATAATTATAGATAAGCACTTTTTCACCACACCCAGTTCATCAGCTACCAGGTTGGGCAAAGTTTAGATGTACTTTGATTGAGAAAAGTCTCTCTCCTTTTCTCAGTATTCATGGGGAGGCTGGGAATGATTGTTACCTTTCCCATTTCAGTGGAGAAAGAGAAGCGAAAGTGAGCTCCTCCTTAAAGCTCCAACCTTTTGCTATTGTTTTAGTGTTTTACAAAAACACACACACACACTCACTCACTCATTTAGATCAGTGGGGCAGAATTTACTTTCCTGTTTAGAAGCATTCATCCCTACCTAAAATAATGTTGAACTAGAAATCCCAACTGCTTCAAGACATTTGCAATGTTTAATACTTAAATTTTATTGTTTTGTGAACACATTGAAAGAACGAAAATTCCCATAAGACCTCCAAAGCAGGGTTCTTCTTTCTGCCTCTCTACTTCCCAGCAATTCGGACACTGTGAAGCAAATCCCACCCCCCTCCCACCCCAAAATATCCAGAAAGGAAGTACAGATTCATCCTTAAACCTGACACTCCTGTGCTCTCATTCCGGACACAATACATGCACAGAAAGGCAGTATCATGCAGATATCCAACAACCAACAAGGTATAGGCAGGATGAAGGCTGAGAACTGAAGTAGAGGCTGGAGCAAGGCGCTCAACCTCGGAAGTGAAATGGCCATGCTGGAATCCATATATGGAGATATATAGATATATAGATATAGGCTTTTTTTTTCTGAACAATCCACCCTACCTTAAACCGGAGAGGATTGTGGGAAGACTTGAGAAATTATGGGGGCCACTGCCTCACCTATGAACTGGCTGGGAGAATGGATATAACCCAGCCTTACAGGCCTCACATTCTGAAAAAAAAAGAATTCACAAACAACATAGCACGGTTTAAATAAGGGGAGAATATGAATGGATTCCCATTGTGCCCTTCCCCTCCACCCATCCCTAGGGGGCATGAGTTCAGGAACACTGGCTGTACTGTAGGTCAATGAAGACCACAAACAGAAGCCAAGAACCAGGACCAATGGGAATGGAACACTCTTTGGGATTGTACAGAAGCTCACTCCTCCTCGTTCTAGTGGCACTGTCTGCCAGCTTCTGGCCTCGGTAAGGCAGAGCCCTCTCTCTCTCCCTCCCTCCCTTCCTCTCTATCTGCATGGTGTTCTTAGCTTCTTTCTCTCCCATCTGTGGCCTCTACAGGCCCAATCCGAGCATCAGCTGCTGCAAGTAAGAAAATGCAGAAACTTTCCCTCTTGGGTTTACTCCTCACTCTCCAGCTTCAGACTGACACTCCGGATTTTGGCTCGAGGCTGGGCACTTCCGGTTCCCTCTCGTTCCACCTGGCTCTGTCCCCGAGAACGCAACAACTGACTCTGCTTGCGCAGGAAGTCGACCGGAGCAGGGCAGCCATAACTGCCTTTGCCCAAGGTGGGCCTTGTTGTTCCCTTCGGCGAGTGGGCAAGGGATGCTGCTTCCAGCTGGGCAAGATGGGCAACGTAACCATCTGAAAGGAACTGCAAGGGAAAAGGTTAAGGCAGTTAATGCCTGCTTTTACCTGGCCCACCCATTTCTGAATGAGCCGCAGCCCCTGCGGAGCGTGGGGAGAGTTTATCACAATGTGGTATTTGCACATTTCAGTCCCTCCGTTAGTTGGGCAGGGCAGTATCATGAGCCAATTCCATACCTGGCATTGGCTTTGCAGTTTCTTCACCGCCCGGCCCACAATATAGATCTGGGATGAAGGAAGCCCTAAAGAGCTATAAACTGAGATGTCCTTGGTGGAACCATATGCAGCTACAATAGTGACCTCTGCCTACAAGAAATAAGCAAACACATTTTAGAATTAAACCCCATCCAAGCAAATATATAAGTGCAATAATAATTAAAATACAGAAAGTACCAAATCCATACATTAAAATGAATATTAACACTAATTAACCACCCAAAACCTAGTGAAATTAATGCTCTATTACACACATATGTTATACCTTACACTTAACACGCTTCAGATTATTATGGACCAACCCACCTCCAGAGTTATACAGCCTGTCCTGGCAGCAATGTGAGAAAAGGCTCCCTCCTATATGCCACCCAGCTAAGCAAGACAATGAGGCCTGTACTGCAGAATGTTATAGCAATGTAGAATGTTGTAACAGGGAAAGCTGTTCCTCTGAGAGTTGGGCTCTACTATACCATCTCAGCGCCATTGTTCCCTCACTTATCTTTCTCCTGTAGTGGTACTCCTCCAGCTTTTTCCACAAGCCCCCTCAGTTATACCAGAGTAGAATCCCCATTGTAAACCTCTCCTGGTTGTGCAAGAACACAAGCAGTTACATACCTCTTGCTGAAGGCTCTGTAGAAAGGCAGCTTTCTGGCGAAGAGGGTCATGTGTGAGGCCATCACAGAAAGAGACAATGCCATGTGGGAAATTATGCTGGGTAAGCCAAGCCACCACTCTATGCTTCTGCATGTCTGGACGTCCTGTCACGTAGATGATCATGAAACCAGAATCTTGCCAATGCCTATAAAGGCAGAGGGAAAGATAATTATCTCTGGAAAACAAACTAAAAACCTGGTGTTCCCCAAGTATTTCAGGTTACTTCTCCTTAGCACCTTCAACCCTAGCCACTCCCATAACTCCAGCAAAGGGTTACATGAGTGGTAGTTCATAATATCTAAATTGCCTGCCCCTACCTAGAGTATGTACAGTATAGAACTGTAACTAGGAGTGATTGTGGGGCCTAATTATGACAAAGCTGTAACAAAAGGGCATGCTGTGCTTATAGCATTTTTGCCTCTCAGTTCCTTAAAGAACACCCTGTTCAGTCACCAGATCAAGGATCCATCAATGGATGTTCAAATAATACTGCTGAGACAGATTATAAACATGTCTTGCCTCTGGAAAAGTCACAACAGGACAGGGAGGGAATAGTTATCACTAGTACCTTTCTTCATGGTACACTGACACTGAACAACAGAAGTTACCGTGAGGTGAAGAGTTACTGAGTGGCCCATCTTCCTCCCACGGTGAGTTTGCACAACTCCCCTCCCAGGCCGCTACCCATATCTTACAGCAGGTGTGGGCAACTACAGGCACAGTCCTCAACTTAACGACCACAATTGAGCCCCAAATTTCCATTGCTAAACAAGACAGTTGTTAAGTGAGTTTTGGTCCATTCAATGACTTTTCTTGCCACTGTTGTTAAATGAATCAATTGTTAAGTGAATCTGGCTTCCCCATTGACTGTGCTTGTCAGAACGTGACTCTTGGATACTGTAACTATCATAAATATGAGTCAGTTGCCAAATGTCCAAATTTTGATTGTGTGATCTCAGGGATGCTACAAAGTTGTTAAGTGTGAAAAATAGTTGTAAGTCACTTTTTTCAGTGCCGTTGTAACTTTGAATGGTCACTAAATGAATGGTTGTAAGTCAAGGACTGCCTGGATGACCCCCTCACGACCTGTGGACTTCAACTCCCACAATTCCTGAGCCACCATCCTGGAAGTTGAAATCCACAGGTGGAAAAAGGGCTACAGTTGTACACCCCTGTCTTAAAGCAACCTAATATCATTGAGTTTGCTATGTTGGCTGAGAAATCTACAATTTATGGTCCAACATTTAGAGGAATTCTCCCTCACTGCAATAAATTTCATTTTTTAATTTGGAGTTTATATAAAGACATCCTTTCATTTGGTTAACTATAATGATATTGAAAACAAGAAAAAGAACCTGCATTCTGTAACAAATGCATATAATGTTGGTATGAATCCAGTTTGATTCATAGAAAAACGATCAATATTCAACTATCAGACTGTTTACTAAAGTTGAGAATGTCAGCAGTCATGCTTCTCTCTTCATTTTTCATAAAAAGAACAGTGATAGTTGGAATGCTATTTTAAAGTAGAAAAAAAATCCAGTTGCTTTAACAAAAGCTTCTTCCAAGAAATCCATTTTGACAGCACATTGGCAAGCACAAATATGGAAGCTGGCAAGTGTGAAGAAAAACAGCAGAGCTATTTCCAATTGGTGCTTTAAATAGCTTTTCTGTTACTGTGTTACTTATTGAACATCTTTTTAAAAATATTTGCACTTAATGGAAAAAATAATTAGGCTAAGTATTGGGAGAAAAAGATTTACAGAATGTGGAAACATTCTAGAGTAACTCAGTTGAGGAATGTAACATATATAAGAATTTCTCTGTAGTCCTGGTACAGATTTTGGAGACCTTAAGAGAAACAATAGATCAGTTGGTTCAAAGAAATACAAGGAGTCTCTGAGGAGTGGTATTCACCTACCTTACCACATCAACAGCACCTGCTCGCACCTTGGGGTCACTGCCCATAATGGAGACACTAGCTGTGAAGGACCCATCAATACTAAAGACCACACAAGGTGTGCCCTTTGCTACCACTGTCAGAAAGCATTCAGCATAGGTGTGATCACCTCTGTGGAGAGACAGAAAGGTGTCAGCCCAAAAGCAAATATTTCTACACGCTCAGAATCAGAAATGCTCGACTTCTGCATTCAAACAAGCCATGAAGATAGAAGCAATTGAGGGTGGTTTTTTCCCCTCCACTATAGTGTAGAAAATCAAAGAAGGAAAAAGCCGAGCAGTTCAACTATTAATTATAAACCTGCAGAGATCCTGCGGTGAAGTACACCTCCAAGCACCCCCCACATCGGCCATGCTGATCAGGGCTGCTGGGAATTGCAGTTCAGCAAAGTCTAAAGAGACACCAGTTGCTTACTTTCACTAGCAGGCAACTGGATTGTAACAACTGAACCTGTGTGCTAAATAGTTGTCAAGGCCAAATTTGAACCATTCTGTTCCAGAGGATCGCATCCCACAGTCAAGTGCTAGTAATATAAATAATTTTGTAGTGCATTGTGGGCATGTGCGTATGTTGTCTTACAAGCTTTCCTGGATAGAAGAAGAGAATATCTGGCACAGAGGGGGCTGCCCAAAAGATCAAGCACAGGAAAGGATCTACCATGCATTCACCTCACCACCATACGGATAGGGTACATGCCAATGCCCAGCATCTTCTCTTCAGGAAGGGTGTAAGAAAGTCTTCCGCTACCACTTGTCACTTCTGTGCCATAATGTACCCATTTCCCTGACAATGGCTGTGCCATGATGTAGATATCGACCTGTAAAGAAAGATCAAGGTGGTGTTCACCATGCATATACTGTTATACTGCACTGATAGCCACAAATAACACCTTGAAATTGCTAAATTATAGCTGTTATTATGAGGAGAGCACAAAGCCTTCCTTCAGTCCCATCCTCTTAAGTTGGTTTTTAAAAATCCATTTTCTACTTATAATCTTTTCATACTCATTCCTCTGAAGGAGGTAGGCAAAATTCCTATATTTTTTATTTATTTCTTCTACCTTTTTCTTACACTTCCGTCCTTCTGGAAACCGTCTATTCTTTGCCTTCTCAAAGGTCTGTGGAGTTTTCATATCACAACTTCAACTACATCTACTCCATTTTGCCTGCAAATTATTTTCTGCTCTTAGGATACAACACTTGCTGCTTACCAGAGTTTTAATGTGAATGGCTTCCTTTAGCCTCTCCTCCTCAACCCTCCCTCCCCCAATTCATTTTAGACTGCTAGCTTATATTATGGATGAGCGCCAGGCTCCCATCATTAATGGCTTCAACGCAACTCTAAGCCCAGAGAAATGAGGAATTCTCACTGAGGTGATCTGAAAACTTGTTCTATGGTAGATCTCCTGACAACAAGGCAGGTGACTCGGTCACTTAAACACAAGAACTAGGGAAGTTTTCCTAACAAACCTAAGAATCCCTCTGGAGGCCACATTCTATCCCATGGTCTTGGCTTAGCTTTAAATTTGTAGTTGCAACCCTACTTCTTTCTGTTCCCCTCCCTAGTCCCAGGAAAGCCTTGCCCTTGGTCCATTATCAGTTCTTCCTCCTTCTGCCTTGAAGGACGGGAGGAAGAGCCACCACCAAGACAACGGTCAGATAAAAAGAGCCTGAGCTCCAAGGAAATAACCTAAGTAAACCTCTCAGTAAAACCTCTCCCTCGTTCACATGGAATATTCAGATTTCCAAGTTTCTGTTGCTACAGCTGTTACAATGAAAGTAGTAATAGCCCACATGACATTGGTTTCCAGGTGTGGTGTACCTTAAAGGACTGAACAGCCATTCACAAGCGAAAACACTTTGCATAATATTTACATGCCCACTAGGAAAGAGAAGGCTTATAACATGTAATGCTGCTTGCTCAAGTTCGTGCCAGCATAACACCTCAGCCCTGTTCATTTGTCCTGGTAAGTCAACCCTAGAATTAAAACCTTGGTTACCTTCTCTCCAGTGAGAGTTACCACATCAAGTGGACCATACATGAAGCGCCCACTAAGGACTTGGGGTCGTCCCTCACACACTATCACATCACTGGCACGATGGTTTGCTGTAACATTCTGGGAAACAAAAAGCCAGACATTATTTATTAACCTCATCATTGCAAAACTGGACAAGGGGAGAATTTCTCAAGAAATGCATGACTGCAGTGAGATTGCAACAGAGTTGGTTGGAGAATTTAAATACCTTGAATCCCAACTCACGAACGGAACTCATGCAAGAGTTGTTTAGAGCAGACAGGAGAATCTTACTACATAATAGCTATCTGTTCCTCTAGCTGCATTAGAAGGTCATTTGTGGGACTGAATGGGTCTTCTTTTTCTTGGTTGTGCCAATTTGATTAACTATATATAAGGCTATAGTAAAATCAGCTGCCATAGGAATTATGGAGGTATCTTGTTATTGAGTTTTTCCTAGTAATAAAATAACCACCATTATGTTCCACTAGAGAAAGCAGCTTATCAAGTTTTATGTACTATGAGTGAATGAATTTTCATCCTACATTTAGCACTATGACCTTACATTTAATTTGCCAATAGCTTGTGTTTTAGGTGTCAGTGCTCACAACCATCACATCCCATAACAGCTTGCTGCTAATTCATTTCAGGGGCCAAAGCTGAACCTAGAAAAATTTAAGATGTTATCAAAGTGAAATAACTCCCCCATTCAATAGCAAAAACCTAATGCATTACACAAATAATATTACCTAAGTAAAATCAGATTTTGGATTGCAACAACAGTATGTTGTTCCTTCAGAATCAAAACGATTGTTCTAATGTTGAGGGGAATTAAAGGCAAACAAAGTGAGATCAACACTGGTGATGGATTCAGGAACATCATGAGTAGAAAATAGAATAGAATAGAATAGAATAGAATAGAATAGAATAGAATAGAATAGAATAGAATAGAATAGAATAGAACAGAATAGAATAACAGAGTTGGAAGGGACCTTGGAGGTCCTCTAGTTCAACCCACTGCTCAGACAGGAAACCCAGGAAAATAAACAGGATCAGATTGTGTATCTTCCTACAAAGCCAGTAGAGCAACCTCAGACAGACCTCAATATGTGCACTGAAAAATAAATAAAAGGGAAAAAAAGACCCCCCCACCCCCCCCACCCCCAAAAAAGGCTCAGAGAAGCCACAGCAGGTTCATACCCGGATCTTCACTTGCGTGCGTTTGCGCTGCCATTTTTCACGGGGAAATGCTGGGCTGTAGATCGAACTCTCCTCATTTTCAGTCACTTGATGCTGCTCCGTCTCAATCACCTGCAATCAGAGACTGTAAATTCTAGGTCATGAAAAATAACCAAGCAAAAAGACCACTTTCCAGACTTGCCCTACGTTAACATGTAGCCAGTATTTAATTTTCAGCACTTAGATTGCTTCAAAAGCGGACAAGGCAAGCACCTTTGCCAGTCTTCTGCTCCAGTGGTGGTATTCAATTTTTTTTTACCAACGGTTCTGTGGGTGTGGCTTGGTGGGTGTGGCAGGGGAAGGATACTGTAAAATCTCCAGTCAGAGGTGGGATTTTCCGGTTCTCCGAATTACTCAAAATTTCTGCTACCGGTTCTCCAGAACTGGTCAGAACCTGCTGAATACCACCTCTGTTCTGCTAGCCTTGGCAGAATAGTGCTGAGATCCCTATTATCTCTGAGGCACTGCTTCCTGGTATTTTTCCAAATGCAGTTTTTGCTGAATTAATGAATATGGCATTTAATCTATAATGGGCAATACAAAATTAAGGGCCACATAGCAATGTACAAAATTGCAATTTTGGGAGAAGCAGCCAAAGTTTTAAAGGTCACTGATGTTTTATTATACCTAACAATGCCAAAAGGTGCAGCATAATGCAGTAAGTAGAGGGGTATTCACAAAACCTGCTTCTTTGTTGTTGCAATGCATAGCTGCATGAACACCTGTAGAGTTATAAACAAATGTTGGCTTCAAAATAAAGCCAAAAGTAAAATGTTATAATTCTGTGAGTGGTGGGAAATTGTGCAGTGGTTTTATGCCCTGTAACGGCCTGTGCAATTACAGTATATTCCACATCTGCAATTACACATAGCAGAATATAACTTTAAATATAAAATTGCATGCATATTGAACCCTACATTTGTGTGGGTGTATGCAGAAAAGCAGCAAAACAGGCCCCCCCCCCCCCCCCGCAAGCGTTTTCCTGCTTACAAAACATTTTTTTTCCTGCTTGAGATTCAAGAAAAGATAGGGAAAATACTAAAGGTATTATGATTTTTAAAATATTTCTGCAGATAATTATACTTTTATTCAATTAGAAAATAGGAAGGAGAAATAGAAATTCTGCTAGCAGAGTAGAGTGGGATGCGTATTGCGTGTCTTATGAGGGGGCACTGGAATAAAACCTAGGGCAGTTGGGCAATTGAGCCCAACATTTCTGTTGCTAAGCAAAATATTTGTTAAATGAACTTTGCCTCATTTTACAACTTTTCTTGCCACACATAGTTAAGTGAATCACTGCAGTTAGTAACACGGTTGTTACGTGATTCTGGCTTCCCCATTGACTTTGGTTGTCAAAAGAGGATCACTTGAACCCAGGACACTGAAACAGTCATAAATACATGCCAGCTGTCAAGTGGCCGAATGTTGATCACGTAACCATGGCAATGCTGCAACAGCCATAAGGGTGAAAAACGGTCATAAGTCACCTTTTCAAGTGCCGTTGACTGCTTTGAACAGTGACTAAATGAATTGCTTTAAGTTGAGGACTCTCTGTACTGCTGTGCTTTTTCAGTTCTCCAGGAACTCAGACAAAAGGTCTTTCACTTTGAGATGGAGATGCTAAGAATTAAGTGTAGGGTGTTTGGAAATCTAAGCACATCGTTTAGCAGCTAAACTCTGAGTCTCAGAACTCATCTAGACCTGACCTGTGAAAGTAAAATTTAGCCACCAAAGCACACTCCATTTCTATGCTTTCTCCCTTAGACTCTTCCAAAGGAGGATCCTGCATCATTTCAAAGGCAATTTCTGCCATGGTCAACAGATGAGCCAATATATTTCCAACTCAATAAAGTGAGAAAATTCCTTCCTTTATTTTGAATTCCTTCCTTTATTTTAGTTGAAGTTCACAAGTCTCAAAGTAGGCAGGTTTGGAGACCTCTGACCTAGATACTTTGCTTGACAGCCTGAAAGACTATCCCAGATCATCTTTAAGCTGCTTTTGAGGGAAGCTCCGTCAGTTGCCTCTGATCAAATCAAACAATTAAAGGAACCAGTTCCACAGCACATACACACTTATATTTCTCTCTTGCTTGCAATAGCCCACCTGGCGTAAGATGAAGGCAGCCACATCAGCGCTTTCCCAATAGCTGGCATGGAAAAGGTGAGGCAGGGTGATGGTGGGAAAGGCCGTGAGTGCCTCGGGGCAGTAGAGAGAGTAGTCGATGCGCTTTGAACCCCACCAACGATCCAGAACTAGACCAAAGGGGAGGAGAAATCATATAAGCATCATCCCATGAAGGTGCCCCTATCTTTCCCCCCCCCCTTTCTCCTGTAAAATGGGTAACAAGTTCCTCGGCACATTTAACTGCTTTCACTGGTTATCCTTTTCTAGTATTTCTCTATATTTTGCCCTTAAAAAAATAATATAAAGATACAAAATACAAGGGAAAACATTTCCTGAAAAAGAAACAGTGGAGGAATTCCCACCCCACCGTGTGCATTAATGCATTGTATCTTTCATCCTATAGAGCTATATAAAAACTTTAAAATATTAATACAGATATAGTGGATCCATCAAAGCAATTAGTCCTTTGCAGATATTAGTATACTCAAGATAGAAGCATTACGTTACAGTGACCAGGACCTCAAAATATTTGACAAAACAGAAATGAACAATGCATTTTAAAAAAGCCACCAAAACATGTCTTAAAGTCACAACGTGGGAGATTATTGACTTCTCCAGACTGTTAGGGACAATACCGACTAGCAGCACACCATATCCATATTGTGACATATGCTCTAACAGAATTATACGAGGAAGCTCATTCCCAAGGTAATGTAAATACTGCAACATCTATTTCTCTTCAGCAAGTTAATGCTGCTTATGTGCGTAATAAAAGCAGAAGGAAGCAATAGCCAAAGGAGGTGACTCTAAGTGAAATCTAGATCAACAGCAGCTGGTGAACAGTTTCACAAACACTCTAATGAATATTTTTTCAATTTATCCTGTCCCCCCCCCCTCCAAATCACAAAAGACTCAAGGATCAAAGGGCACTTGCCATTAAATGCATTTTTAATTTTAAGCTGCAGTTGCCTAAAAGGGCAATTAGCATTAATTTCTAAGCATCAGTACAGATATGGCAAAGAAATTCAATATTCTATTGCTCCACTGGGGTCCCTCAATGGAAGCCATAGCCTTGTTTTTAATGATTAAATTCTGATGTACGTCAGTCCCCACCTCCAACTAATGACTGGAGTTTAAAAGAAACACACAAACCTCACACACCTAATGCAAATATTCTTTTAACATCATATCTAGTTTGATGCTAGTTATCAAAACATCTGCAGAAACTTTTAAAGCTATTTTATAACATTCTGTTCCAGTGCCCAGAAACTGAAGTGGCCCAGCTCTGCCCAGAACTACATTCTTAATCTCCATAATGGCTCTTGGATGTTTCTGAGCACTCCAGAAGTGACACAAAGTGGCCCAGTGTGGCCAAGCTAGGGCAACACTGTGGAATTTGGGTTTTCCACTCAATGAACAAGTATTTTCTTGGCACCCGAGTAAATTGCAACCTTTGCAAAATGTACTCATTTGCTTCACAGAAACAAGAGCCTTTGTTCAGATTTCTGTCTGAATCTTCAATGAATCTATTCAAGGAGCAGGCAGTTCATTCTGAACGGCTGACATGAAAGAACAGCTTTATACACCCGTGTCGGGGATATAAGAGAGACACAGAAAAGGCATATAGCTTTCTAGCGCTTCAACTAAATAAGTAGATGATGACACATTTTCTAATATTTATTATTTGTAACGCCTAAAGCAATTAAAGCAGAACTCAGCCTGCCAAAAATAAGAATTTTTAAAAGAAAATAATGCTTTTTAAATGTAGAAAACCTGTGGTAATCTTTCCTATCAGCAAATGGATTCATAATAACCAAATGGCCCGCTAAGCTGACTAAAACAAACAAAAGATGCATAGTCAAATCTGGCTTTGAGGAAATTAGTATAAAAAGGCAGCAAGTAACTCACTCTTAACAACTTCATTGGTGCTGGTTGCAGTGCTGTCACTTGCAGCTCCCTCATTTCCTTTCCAGAAGCCCCCAAATGCACCTGTTGGAGTGGGTGGTGTCACAAGGTCTAGCTCACTCACAAAGAGGGAAGAATGACTCTGCAAGGCGTCAGCTAGTTGAAGGAGAAACATAAGCAGAGGTGAACACAGTGATGGCATATTTCCAGTCCTCCACTACTGTACTGCAGAATCAACCTTTCCTAAATTCATTGCTTCCAGCTGTATTGGAACTATATTTCTCATAGTTTCTTTTGGGGAATTAACTTAGCAAGACGGCAGAAGGTTGCCATTCCTCAAAAGGAAGTCTGTACATGTGCATACACATATATGTACATCTCATACACACGCAATATGGCAATAGTTTCAATCATGACATGGTTCCTGCGATGTAGTGGGAAGAAAAGCTGGATTAGGATCAGAGAAGCTCAGTTCTAGTCCGCTCTCAAGCTCAGTCACTCACCTCTCAGCCCAACTCATTCAGTGGGTTATTTGAGGGAAAGGAGTGCCAAGTATGCTGTCTTGAGCTGCTGAATGACATGTTAATATGATATATGTATATTATGCAACATGTATATAATAAACACTGTGATTTGGTGTTTCTAGTCAATTCTTGGACTCTAATGTTTCTATGGACTTTCTCCTACAATACTACTCTCTCTCTCTAGGCTCCAATTCCTCAAGAAATACTCCTGGCTGAACTTCCTCTCGGCAGATATCTCAACCCAACAGAACATGGCAGGCAAGCTCGAAAGGCTGCATAGCATGGCAGATAAATACAGAGCATTCCTCAGGGGCACTGGGGTCACCAGTCAGAAGCACATCTGCATTTCCTCATAATTTATGCATTATTCTAAAAGTTCTCTCACACACATGTACATTTCCTTTCATGTATAGATTCCATCTACCTCTATCAACTACACAGGAAAGTAATTAAAACATAGTTCTAAAAAGAAAAAAATGGAATAAAATTAATATAAATTACACATTTCTACTCAGAAGTTTCTAATTTGTACTGCTGGCAGCTAAAAAAAGAAACAGAAAGGAAATTCCCCTCCTATCATTATACATGACTCAATATATATTCTGAGAAAGGAAGTAAACTTCCTCCTTGGCCCTGACAGATAAAGCCTTTCAAAAGCTGCTGGTTGATCATTAATATATGGAAGAACTGTAGAAGAAACCCCCTCTGAACAGATCTGGCATAAAAGGAGAAATGCTACTTTAACAAACACTGTCTCATTCATGGGCTAGGGGTCCAAAGCAGGTAATGTCATGAGGACACCAAAAGCAATACAGATTCTGTCACAACATGTTTCTGTCTTGGTTAGCCTCCAGTGTAGAAAGGTCCTGCAATCAATCAGCACATGCAGCAGAATTAGTGGTGGTTATCACTTCAGACCACAGAGATAAGAAATTTTATGTCCTTCCGTATAACATTCCCTTACAAATAGAAATCTATTATTCAGTGATGTCTACTTCACACCCTTACCACTTGTTCCATGCTGATGTTCAATGCAAGGAGAAAACATTTTATTATACCTCTACTGCAAGATAATAATTAGGAAGCAAGGCTAGTGACTAAGTGATGAAAGAACAAGCACTGTCAGGCTCCTTCTCTTCCTGAACTCTTTCCCTTCCAAACAGTCAAGCACTTACAAATTGCAAATTTCAAATGTGGTTGACCTTTTGCTTGCTTTCCTCTTTGTCCCTCTCTGTTCCCTTCTTCCGTGTCAGCTTAAATAAGCCACCCTGGGAGCCTTTCCACTTAGAAATAAATACAGCAACTACAAATAATATGAACATGTGACATCTTCCCAGCAAAGGGCTAAAAGGACATGGCTGCTCTACCAAATTCCTCTATTGAATTAAGGGACTGATTTCAGAGAGTTCCTCCTTGTATATTATTCCCCCTCAGTTCCCTTAAGCATATTGCTGAGAACATAGAACCCCGTATTATTGAACAAAACAACGTCTTTTAAAACATGCATTTTACTTTATTTTGTGTTGTACATTTAAAACAAATGCACCACCATACTCAGTAATACTATAATCCAGAGAACCAAGTCTTGTGTTCTGCTGTTCCCCAAGTGCAGAACCATATATCAAACATCCCCCATCCTTTATACTATAGCCCCAGTCTCCCACTTTCATATTTCCAAAAGAAAAGAAGACACAGAACCCACGCCAAGGCTCCTTCCAGTCCATTATTTAGTACCTGACCTTCTCAGTTTTTCCTCACCTAATAAAGTGGACGAACCATCTCCCAGGGGATATTTCTGATAGCGGGGGACCCCAAAAGGAGGCACAGCATGAAACTGTTGAGCTAGCAGAGGTTCCAGGCGGGAGGCACAGGGGTCAGCAGCATGAAACAAGTTATAGATCTGTTCGCAGGACGGCCGCATGTGAGCCACTGAAAGACGCAAACGACTGTGTAAATTACTGAGAAAAGCAGAAAATGTGATTAAATGCAGAAAGATGGAAGAAGAAAAAATCTCTGTACCATCCAAGGCGGGCATTACTGTCTTACGAAGTGCAAGTACCAATCCCAGAGGGGAGCCAAACAAGAAAAAACCAGACACTTTAAACTCCAGCTTCCCGACCATGCTAGGGCCTTCAAAAGTCTCCACCAACGAAGATGAAGAATTACTGCTGCGTCGAGGGTCTCCTTCTGTTTCTGAGGCAGGCATGCTAGACTGCAGGCTAAAAACAAGAGGTGGAAGGGGAATCATGTCCCTGCCAGAAAATACAAATAGCTCCCAACAGTCAAGAAATTACATTTGTCCATTTACTTTAATTTCTAAAAAAATTAAGGATGCATGATGGTAAACAGAAAACCAATAACAATTAGAAAAAGTAAAGGGAGGAAATGTAATAAGTGCACAACACTTATTGGGTGGAAATTAAAGTTAATGACAGAAATATTTCAGTTGATTCAGAGTTGCTGAACTACAATTTTCAGCCTCCTTTTTGTTAACTATAGACATACAGCATTTGGATCTGAAGTGAGAAAGAATACTGGGAATCCAGGAGGGTCACATTTACTGTAGCATTGTGTGAATGAGTTGTGTAAGCCCTAAGATTTTAAGGAACAGCCACCCAGCACAGCAAGAGCATCTGTGTTAGATCCAAAGCACCTCTGCCTAGTTTAGATCTGTACATTGCTCATCTCCAGTGATCTTTACAACATGATTACCACACAACTTCTTATACAACTAAAGAATAGCCATAGCTCTCTTCCAAAATTCTACCTTTCCAGGGAGATAATTTGGGATGATTCCCATGAAGCACAACAAAGCTCTCTTCATATGTTGCTCAACTACCACTCCCAGTTTTTTTTTTTATTATACGCCATCAAGTCAATATCACCTCCTGGTTACTAAATAAGCAGATTACCAAACAAGCAGGTCAGATTATTGGAAACCAATACCTAGTAAGTCATCTTGGCTTTATAGCCTTGGATTCCTTACTCTCTCACCTGGACAAGATTTGCTGCTGTTGTAAAGAGTCACTCTCTGGAGCTACACTGTCACAATATTTTGGAGTAGTAGGAAGTACTCCTGGCTCAGGACTGGCCCGGCCAATCCCTCCCGATGTTTCTGGCTTCTTGAGCAGTGGATCTCGTACCACAGACGTCTCTGGAGTCAGGAGATCAGCATTCTGGAAAGAAACATGGAGTGCTGAGAAGTTTCTCTTTTGCTCAAGAAATTAGAATGCCTTTTCTTTAGGCAAAGAAGGGTAGAATATGATCACAGGAAAGTTACCCAGATTATTTTGCCAGAATTTAATAGCAAGCTGATGAACTGTCTTTCATGATTGGTGGTGAAGGAGCTACCAAAACAAGCATTATAAAACTCCAACAGCCACAATATGTTTCTTTTAGGAAACCAAACCATGACAAAATGTTGCCCTTCCTGTGAAGCTATCCCTCTTATTAATCAGCCCTCAGGATTTGAAACAGCTGTTCTACTACTGATCTACTACATTATATTCTAGAGCAGACATAATTGGGCAGTTCATCTCTAGAATGAAGTCAAAAGAAAATATTTCTCCTCTTCATCTATTTTCAGTTCATCTTGTCAGTATGTAATTAATTCATCCATTTTCCCATTTCAGAATTCGGAAGGAGAATATTGTCCAAAGGTAAGGAGAGCTATCCCCAGGGCTCGGGAACTGACCATACTACCACGACGGCTGCTCCCATGACTTCCTGACCCACCAGCACGGCTGTGGCAAAGAGCATCAAAGGCCAGGATACCCCCCACACAGTCTCCAATCAGCAGCACCTGTTGGAAGAGATAAACCTGGATTGCTAATAGAAGAAACTCAAGGCATCGTCATTTTTTTTCTTGCCAAATTTTCAAGCAAACTAGAAAGGATCCAAAAGACATATTCTACCTATTTTCTACAATGGTTATGACTGGAGTAGCTGAGGAGGTCTTCAAGAATTTATATTCAAGATTGCTTTCCTCTACACCGTGTTCAAAAAAACTACCAGGAAAATATAATGCAAATTAGAGCATTTCCCAAACTTGTCAACTTTTAAGATGTGTGAACTTCAACTCCAAAAAGTCCCTAGCTAGCCATGGCATTAGAAAATTACTAATTTACTAATTATTAAATTAGAAATTTTCAAAGTTCTAATTCCACATAGTGCACAATCATTGCATGGTCAGATGGGAATAGGCTCCTAGTCCTTAAGGTTACAGGGAAATACATAACCTTGAAATCATAAGGAATTTGAAGACTTCAATTGCTATGATTGTTACAGCGGTCTCAATCATCTTGTAAATGTTAATGTTGCAGAAAGAATGGATCTTTGTAATATATTATCCCAGAGTTTTCTGAATTATTTTTTTCAATAAACATCACAGCTCTATTTCAAAAGGAAAAAAAATTGAACAAGAAGTAGATCTAAATGTTTGTTCCACTGAATCATATGGGCACATAGGAATTAAAGATCCTTTCCCCCCATGTTCTAGATTTCTGCCTTCAACTTCCTATAGAAGCTCTAAAAATTGCCAGCAATCTAACCTGACCACAGAAGCCCATGCCATCAGGGGAATGGATGAAACTGGCATAGGCCTGGTTGGTGCGGGAAATGACTGTTGCAACGGCACTCTGATAACTGCTCGAGGAGGTTGCAAGCAGAGGCAAAGCAGCAAGTGGGATGTGATCTTGGCTACTGGATAGACTGTCACCATCGTGGCTGTAGGGGCTGAGTCTAGGAAAGACGAGTTGAAAGAAACGTCTAAACAATCTAAAACAAAGGCATGTCTTTATAGAGCTAAGAAACTACCTCCCATGTATAATCACCCAATGACATTTTTTAAAATATACATGTCTAGGGACTAAAAGACCAATCATCTACCGTGCCAGTGACAAAAGAAGGCATTCTCCATATTCAGCTTAAGAAATGGCCATGGGCCAACAATCATTTGAAATTAAGACCTGTAGTAAGAGTTTAGCCCAAAATCCAGAGCTATGAATAGCTGAAGGAAGAGAGCCTAATTCTGAAAAGATGAAACAGAATTTCCTTAGAAAGTCCTGCCCAGCAATCTCTAGTGTTTGCCCAAAACACTTTACCTTCTTGGGTATTCACTCTGAGTGGTACGTCACATACTTCAAAAGCTTTACTTGGCTCTACTCTACTCAAGCTAGTGCAAAGAACAGGTCTCATATTTTTTTCTAGACACCAGAACAACAAAAACGCCTATTACTATTGATGAAGCCGGTACCACTGCCCTCACTAAGCCCCTTCACACTCGAGGTGCCTGTAATTCTTGTTTTTTTCAGGCAGCCAACCAAATAGCACTACTCGCATCAAGTCTTCAGCAGCTCAAAAAACCATGCTTCCTACTTTGAAACCAGGACATAGGCAGCAGCGCAGATCGGTGGACAGGGCACTAGGCGTAATGCTATGTGCCCCAATGCTTCAGGAAAATGTAGCCGGGTGACTGAGTCCAAGGTAGCAGTGAGTGTATGCACATCAGCCTGTTTGGAGCCTGGTTCTCCTACACCCTGGTCTAGGATGTTGCCACTGTGGAGGATCAGGAAAAGGGCATGAATACGGCACGTCCCAAACAGCCCTTCTGAGCCAACCTATGGAAAGATACACAAGGCACTGTGAGGATGAAATCTACTGATGGAGATGGCGCGTATCATCCAATGGGGGAGGAGTTCAATATGGCCATGTATTGCAGCCAAGGATATGAAAAATTGGCTAACAATATGACAACAATAATCCTGTAATCATCACAAGCCCTCTCCGATGGCTTGGGGCCACAACAGTCGATGGCAGTGAAACAGGAATGCTGTGTTTCAGACATGGGTTCCCTCACCTCTGGTGGGCCAGGTACGGGGGCACCGTCACTATCTGACTTGGTTGCTCCAGTCACATCAACTGCAAAGGAAATTTATATTGTGCTGAGTACAAGGAGACAAAAGGCAAAAGACCAAAGACAGAGGTCAAAAAGGGCAGAAATTGGAAATTGATTTTTCTTACCTAGAACTTCATCCCGTTCATTGGGTCGCTCCAGAGTATCAAGAAAGTCATTTGAATTCCACTTAGTGATTTCTTTTGCAAACACATCATCACTGTCAGACAAATCCTCTAAAATGAAAAAGGGTTACATGTAGTCTAGTTACTGCAAATACACTGAAATGCCCACCATGGTTAAAAATCAGAGTTAAGAAAGAAGGGATAATTTTTAAAAGAAGAACGGCACATTAGATGATTGTCTCTAATAGTCCTCCAGATTCATAGGAAGAATTATTTTCTAGCTTTGCAGTCTATCATCTGTGGAGTCCTTGGTGCTCTCTGAGCTTGGTTGTTTGCTTGCAGACATTCCATTACCCAATTAGGTAACATCATCAGTGAGAATACATGCAGGTCTCTTCTCCCTATGTGTATACAGTAGTTTGCCCTGCCAGTTTTGGTAGGGTATGGTATTCTCCTTGATAGTTCCTTGATTTTTTTCTGTCCGATTGATGTTAATTTGCCCTACATGGTGGCAATTATAGTCCTTGCATTGAATATTGTAGATGACTCATTTTTAATTCTTGGGCTATTAGGTCTTTTGGTTTTCTTAAGATGTTTTGGAGGGTTCACAGGTAGTCCTTGATAAAGAACTACTTGTTTAACAATGAAAGTTACAATGGCACTGAATGAGGGGTGATAACAACTGGTACTCAAAGTTCTGGCCATCTAAGCAACTCCACAGTCATGTGATTGTGATATGGGTAGTTGGAAACTGGCTCACATTTATAACAGCTGGAAATGTTCCACAATCACATAATTAAAATTTGCAACCTTCCCTGCTGGATACAAAGTCAATGGGGAAGATGGCAAGGAATGTTGCAAGTTGCTTGGGTAAGCCGTCCCCCACCTGCACACTTTGCCCCAGCCTTTTGTGCTCAGGTCAGCTACCCACACACCCTCCCTAAGCTTGTGGTCCAGCTCCCTGGCCATTCATGCACCCTCCCCAAGCCTTCTTGCACTCAGGCAGGACCTTCTCAGCCACCTTCTCATCCAGCAGCAACCATTCCAAGCATTGGTGCTGTGCCTCCCTGCTACTTGCATAGGCTCCCCAAGTTTTGCTGGATCACGACAAACCTCCCTGGCAACCTCCCCCTTGATGGCAGCTGTAGCCACTCCAAACCCCACTGTGCTCATGCCTCCCTTGCTCCTTTTCTCACCTGGCAGCAGCCACTTATCTACTGGCTGGGCTGCTTGCAAGCTACCAGACAACTTTCTGCTGGTTTCCTTACTGAGTTTGCTTGAAAGCTGGTAGGAAGTTGTGAGGTGGTGCCTGCTTAACAATCCACTATCCTCGCTTAACAAAGGCAATGGGAACTACAGAGATTGCTGCAGCTTAGTGATGCACTCACATGATCTTGAGCTTTATGACCATATCGCCCAGTGATGGAAATTCCAGTAAAAAGTACTGTCATAACTTAAGGGCTATTTATAATTGGGCCAAGTGCTACAGAAAGTTGTTAGGTGGTTGTTTCTCAGATGTTTTTGATATGTGCTTATGCTCCTCATTTTTGTAGCTTCTTCTGGTTGTGCTATAGTGGATTGAGTGATCAGGCACCTTTAAATAAAGTTGTGGGACTATTTTGATGTTGTAAAGGTGGTCTGTTTCTTTTTTTGGTGTTGCTGCAGTGCCTTTACATTCATTTGAATAATATTCTTTTATAGCTCCTCTTGTGAGAGACTGAGTTGTTACTTTGATAATGGAGGACTTCGGTTACTGTGGGTTGTTGTACAAGGACTGTAAGAGCTATTATGTAGGGCAGGCAGGCAGAAGATTAGCCAAGGGCATCCTTGAACACCAAGTAGGAGTCAAAGACATGATGAAAATTCCTTAACCTCCCAGAATCAACCAGTTTCAACTGGGAAACTCAGCCTATTAGACCAAAAATGCTAGCAAATTCCTGGAAGCTTGACATTCAGACAATTCAACTATCAATAGACATATAATGATAAACCACATTTACATTCAAAAGATGCAATATAAATGCAAAGAAAGTAACAAAAAGACAAGAATACTTCCTTCCCAGCAGCCAAAACCCAGATAAGGATTAACACCAGGCAAACAATACCCTAATCAAGGAACTACCAAAAAAACAAACAAACATAGACACAACCAAATTGGCAAGGCAAGCTACTGTATGTAAACAAAGAGCAAATGGCACACATGCACTGTTAATGTTACCTAAGTGAATAATGAAATGTCTGCAAGCAAACAACCATGCTCAGAGAGACCAAGAACTCCACAGTTCAATGTGAGCTACATATCTAACCCAGTTCAATATATGAGCTAATACATATACATATATGTATACCTATACGTATTATCTCCTCTACTGGAATCCATCATCTGTAAGTAGAAATTTTAAACCCCTGGAATTAACCTTTGGGATTCACAAAATAGGAGTAAAAAAGACTTCTATCTAAAATTATTAAAAGTTATTGACCTCCCTGTTGATAATAATGGATTGAACAAGGGTTGGTTTGATGGAAGGTAGCTTCCTGTATTTCCTATGACACTTGCTCACCATACACACACACACACACAAACCCATGTGCCTTTAATAACTAAGCTATGAACCTTTTCGTAGTCTTTTCTTATATGGACATACTATTTCTTTTCAAAGAGTAAGGATAAGAGTTCTGATCTTCCCTAACCATATAAATTCATACAAATCCAACTTTCAATACATACGTAAAGAATTAGTTCTTACAGATGTTTCTACATAACTGGAATCCCAAGTCTTGGAACCAAAAGCAGCTACCTGCCATCTACAGATGAGTCTGAGCTCAACTCTTCTCAGAAACAAAATACCCTGTAGAACCATGCTATTCATATTCAGTGATACAAACCATGAGCATCAAAAAATTCCTCTTCGGAACTGTTCTCAGAGTCCCGTGCAATATTTTGCATCCGCCATTCTGATAAATTGTGTGGAGACACCGCAACTGCAGAGACATATCAAGTGAAATCATGATGACCAAGAAAGCTTAGTATCAACAGGAACACTTCATTACAGGAATTATGATCACTGGAATAAATAGTATAGTATGAAGTTTGCTTTACTGTCTTAATTTTCTGAATTTGCAGAAAACTGCAGGAAGTCCTTAATTTTTTACAGACAAGAAAAGAATAGGAAAAGGAAATAGGTCAGATTACAATTATTAATAGAATCAATTTCATAAAAACTATTCTGCAACAGAACTTTCTACCCTGTATATCAATATCTATTTCCACTTTTTCATGAGTTCTTTTCCTTCTTTAAGTTCCAAACACAAGAAGAAAATTACAAAGAAAAACAAAAACAATGGTTGCTATCATGGATACTGTAATACACATCCTAACTAATCTTTCTTTAACACAAGTATCAATATTCATAATGCCATGCCTCTGCACAATGCAAAAAAAAAAGTATTGTATTTCAAATGAGTAAAAAATCAAACAAGTCAAGAACTAGTAAGGGAAGAGATAAAAAATCCTTTGTGAAAAAACTAAACCAACATTACCACCAATACAGGAGTCCCCGATTATAATCTAGAATGATATGTTAGTGAATTTCATCCTTTCTCACAACTGTTGTTCCTCTGCAGCAAGAGTGTTTACATCAGTACCATATTATGTTCTATTCTTCTACAAGTTCCTTTCTATTTATTGCAGCGGTCACTCACCAGTATGTTGAGAAGAATATGAGGACCGAGAAGAAGTTGACCACTGCTTTGCAAAGGGGTCATCTGGAGAGGAATCAGGAGCCCTCAGGCTATCAACTCTGTCCTGTGTCTCATGGCCACCTAACTCAGTTGGGCATTCAGGGCTGGGCACACCAGGACCTAATTCAGATTCCACGCATGTAGCCATCTTCTGAGCCAGCATACGAGCTGTTTCTTCCTCCAACCTTCGAATGTCATCCATTGTGAGATCTATCCATTCATCCTGCCAACACCAGGCCTGGCGATGAGCTCGCAGCATCACTTTCCGTAGACCTACAGTAGGAAGGCATTCAGGAATCAGGATGGCATAGCTCTTCCCAGACACACCGCACTTTGGTTAGTTATAACTTCAGCTCTTCAATACATTAAAAGACATTAAAGTTATTTACTTTGTGAATGCTTCTTCCAATGCTTTTTAGTAACTTAAAGGATTACAACCCAGTTCAGCTTTAAAAGAGGAATTCAATTTAGAGAATAAGAGGAGCTAACAGCATTGCAATTCTTTTTTCTTTTCAACAAAGATGCAAGATTCATTTTGGCATTTTATTTACCTTAACCAATACATTTTATTTATTTATTTACCATATTTACGTAGTCCCCCTCTCTCATATGAAAGTGACTTTGGGAGGCAGATAGCACTTAACAATATAATAAATACTTAAAAGTCACACTTAAAAATAACTATTAAAAAGGCACACATAACAAAGGATGATATTAAATCATAGCAAGGGAGCCATTGCAAAATCTCCCTCATTTCCTGGGACTCCCCAGGACTGATGACATAGCCACATCTTGAGGGACTTAAGGAATGTTGAAAGGAGTGGAGCTAATCTTATTGGGATGTGGGACACTGCTCAGTGTAATTCCTCTGCTAAAATCCGAAGATATTTAATGTCAAATTAGTAGTCAGGAATGAAGATAACCCATTGAGTTAGATTGAAACCAATCCACATTATTCACATAATGATGTTGTGGAAAAGTGAAGTAAGGAACCTAAACTTCTATAGACATAAGCTGTACCATCCCACTGCTACCACTTCACTATACCCAAGATGTCATTAGATAGTTGTGGTTCAGCCTATTTGTCTAATTTCATATCACAAAACTTTATCTTTAACATGATATGACCATTTCTATCACATATGTTTACACTGAAGATATCTCACATTTTTTCAATCAAAACTTTCAGAAATCCAGAAATCATTCTCACATTCAAGCAAAAATTATTGCATCCAATTTATATTGGGATCTTGTCATCCTCATAATCTGCCACCTGTCAGCTATTGCATCCAGGGACACAGCTTAGATGAGCAGACAGCACAGCGTAGCTCATTTTTTTTGTCTGAGAAGTGCTGCACACCGTTGGATGACAATTCCTTTCATGTCAGAAGCTGATTTACACGGATAATCATAAATGTCATTAAGCCTCTATCGGTAGTATCTCCTAATTCTAAACAAATTTCCTCAAACTAATATTAGGCTTAATAGGCAACCGCTATTTTATATGATCTATGTTTCTGAAGTCTTTTGAAATCTGGCTGCTCCTTCAATTGTGCTGTCAACAGTTGGCTTCTCTTTCTCTAACTGACTAGTTTCAGCCCTTGTGACTGTCTGAAGCCTTTCTCTTACATGGTTACCACCACTAATACTTATGAGGTCACAGTAGGAAGAGTATCTCTCAAGCAACCAACCAATACATCAAAATCTTTTGGGTGCATTTTTACCTCAAAGGGTAGAATTGGACTAGAGCAGTAGTTAATTAGCAGAACAGAGGAAGAAAGTCCAATTGCTCACCAATTTCAGAGATAACATTTAGAGTTGCCATATGCTAGAAGATTGTAGATCCTGAACAAATGCCTTGTAATTAGCAGAGAAATGTGAAACAGTATTGGTTTACAAAATGGCAGAGGACCCAATCGTTTATTTTCAACTCAGAAAGAATGATTCTCAACATTGTACAGCCTAGGTCTTAGAATGTCTCTTTAATATAGGGGCCACAAGGGAGGCTTGGAACTGTTATCTTTGGGCCAGTATTAAATCTGATTTTGCATTAAGTAAAGGTAAAGGTTCCCCTCCACATACGTGCTAGTCGTTTCCTCTCTAGAGGGTGGTGCTTATTTCCGTTACAAAGCGGAAGAGCCAGCGCTGTCCGAAGATGTCTCCTTGGTCATATGGCCGGCATGACTAAACGCCAAAAGCGCATGAAACGCAAAACACCTTCCCACCAAAGTGGTCCCTATTTTTCTACTTGCATTTTTACATGCTTTCAGACTTCTAGGTTGGCAGAAGATGGGGTAAGTTAACAGGAGTTCACTCTGTTATGCAGCGCTAGGGATTCGAACTGCTGAACTGCCAACCTTTCTGATTGACAAGCTCAGCATTTTAGCCACTAAGCCACTGCGTCCCTGATTTTGCATTAGAGTAGCTTTAATGAAATTCATATGAAAAGGGCAACTCAATAGAAAAGGTACTGCAGAAGTACTGCTACCGGAGAGGAAATGGACAACGTACCTCTGCCAGCACAAGTAACAGGATCAATCATCCACTGCCTAGGCATACAATGTGGCCTAAATCAGCTAGCTTCAGTAGGCCAGAGTTAGGGGACCTCTGTCCCTCCAGACATTGCTAAACTAGTGTATTACCATGGGCAATATTGGATGGAGCTGCTGGGAGCTACAGTTCAACATCAGGAAAAATCAAACTATCCACTACTGTCATGGGTTTTTGTTTGCTGAAGGAAGATGAAAAAGAATGGCAATAAAGAAGATATCACGCTTACCTACATCATGAATGAATTGTTCAATCTTGGACTGCATGCCCCAATAGCGAAACTCCACCTTACAAAGCTTGTAAGCACACATAAATGGCCCAGTATTTCCACTGTCTAGCCAATCATCTCCCAGAGGTCCACGTCCTGTCTTCACCGAATGGTATAGTCGTGGATCTTCCTCTATCTTGTATTCACTGGGTGAGATGGGATCCCGTACAATATCAATAGTATCTGTGGGTAAGTAGAGGAGGTTTTGTAAAAAGTGATTAATTGTAGGAAATTAAAATAATCGTACTTGGGTTTCTCAAGTCACTGTTCCTTCTCATCTCAAAATTGCTTCAGATGGTCAGCTACATTCCTGACTACTGCTGTTGCCTGGTGTACATGTTTTGCCAGGAGCCTGCTGGCTATTCTTCCACTCCTGGTGTGTAACAACAGCATCCCCCAATCTATTGTCCTCCAGATGCACTGGATTTCAACAATGGAATGATGGTTGGGAATTCAAAATGAGAAAGTTCCTACCATCTACATAGAGTGAAGCATCCACAAGGCTGGTGAAGGCTGCCCTACAGCACAGCACTTTATACGCTGGGTGAAAGAGATATCCACTAACTTATACCTCAGTCATTTATTGACCCTAAATATAATCAGATAACCATCATTGTTCAGCCACTCCTACACAATCAGTTGCTCAGCACAGAAGCAATCATGCGATAATATATTCTGATAACTTAAAAGTGAGAGGAATGGACCAGTGTTTGAGAACTCACCGACAATCCTTTGCCTGCGCTCTGTACTATTTAGATTGAAGATATTGGTTTGCTTTCCAGCATCTGGTCGGTAGTAAGTCTCAATCTCAATTGAAAATTTCTCCACAAAGGGGCATGTGTATCTATGAAGAAGAGCATGAAACTCACAGTTCTAGCTTTACCAACTTGGCAAACCCCAACCACATCTTCCAGCCCCCTATTGCCTTCCTCTCACCTGGTTCGTGTGTAGGGGTAGGCATTCCAAGATTCTTCCTCCACCTGCAGAGCAGCCTTAGGTAGGAGAGCACGGAACCAGCTAGGAATATGAGAGCCCACATGGTAGATCTTATGTGTATATTGGCCACTTCCTCCTGGACCATCATCATATGGTCGGTTGGACAGGATTTCAACCCCACTGCCTTCGCCACTGGATTCCTCACGGCTTTTTTTCTAAGAGAGACACCTTCAGCTTGCAATCTATATCTTTTGTTCTTTGCATCCCTCAACCTGCTTGGTTTTGGTCTTGTTAACCCCAAAACTCCATCTGGTTAAATAAACATGCATCAGCCTGCTCTATTAAGCCAAACTGATGTTACCTGGATCATGTAAAGTTGGGCCACCTGATATTCGGCCAGGCTCATGGGCAGCAGTATATGATATTCTTTGATCAGCATCTTGACTGTCAGATCCTGTGAGCTGAGACACAGTAGAGGGCAGATAAAAGCATGCAGCCAACACAGGTATCTATTTGTGGCTGTGGGCCACTTAAAAACATAATATGAAAATGGGATCACAGAAAACATTAAAACAGCCCAAGAAAATTTTGTTTTGGACAACACAGCTTAACAGATTAAAAGATATCTGTCAAATGCTCACCTATATCATAAAGATTTTTTTGTATCAATCAGATTGGCATGTATTTATTTTTATTCTCATCATCAGAAAACCATCATATGTCAAAATGAAGCATTATATAAGTATGGAAAGGAGCTGCTGGTCAAAAGTAGTAGCTTAAACCACATTTTTACTTCCTCAGATGAGAAGCTGGAAATAAACCCCCATCTGACCTTATTTCAAAATCCAACCCACTGGGTAAGTTTCCATAGCAACTCTTAAGCAAATGAGAGGCTAGGGAGTTTCAACATAGCAAAAGCAAAAAATGTGGAAGGGAGTAAAATAATAGCATCTAATGCTCTTGGTCTTTTACATCTTCCTGGACCATGTCAATGGTTCCCAAACTTTGCCATATTATGATCTGAGAAAAAGAAATTGTGCCATCTCCCACATGTAAATAAAAGTTTTCCTGAACCAATTAGATAAAATATTAGAGGGGATGGATGAAAAATTAATTTCTAAAATGTATAATTATCTATTAGAATTTGAAATGGCGGAAGAAATAGTTAAAGGCCCAATGATCGCATAGACAAGGAATGTAGGGCACAACATTAATTTGGAAGACTGGGAAAAAGTCTGGAAACAAAATTATAAAATAACAAAATTGGTTGTTTATAAAGAAAACCAATACAAAATGTGTTATCAGTGGTATTTGGCACCTTCAAGGTTAGCAAATATGTACTCAAATTTAAATCCGACCTGTTGGAAATATAAGCAAATGAGGGGTACCTTCTTTCACACTTGGTGGCTTTGCCCAAAAAGTACTGGAAAAAAATTAGAATTTGGATAAAAGAAATTACAAATATACGACTAGAATTAAGGCCGAAATATTTTTGTTGGGAATGTTAAAAGGGGACTAGGCAGAAGAAATGAAATACTTAATTCCCCATACAATCACAGCAACAAGAATTGCATTGGCACAATGCTGGAAGGGTGACCAAATGCCAACAAATAATTTGATAATTCAGAAAGTTCTTGACTGCACTGAAATGGACCTACTTACACAAAAACTTAGAGATAAGGTAGACTCAAAATATACTACAGTTGGATGAAGAAGAAAAACCAGGAAATTAAAAGATAAGGATTTGAAAAATGAAGTGGTTAAACTAAGAGCATTTACCAAAAATAGAAAATGAATATTAGTAAAATTGTTTTCAATAAATGATCACACCGTCTTAGCTGATAAGAAATATATGTTTTATGTTAATATTTGTATTTGTATATTGGTTCCATTTGTAACGAAACACAGTATTTTATTATATATGTATGTATGTATGCATGTATGTATATGTGTGTGTGTGTGTGTGTGTGTGTGTGTATATTATACACACATACAATCTTTAATAAAGTTTATTTTAAAATTTTAAAAAAAGTTTTCACAGGGATTGGGGTGAGGCAAGAAACAACCTAAACTTATTCATAACAATTATATTTTTACCTATATAGCAAATAAAACAGTGGCAGAACATAACTTTTTAAAACAACAGTTATTTTGAAAACAAAAAAACAAAAATACAATTTAAAACCATTTTTAACATGAAGAATGAATTGCTTTTTTTGGCCTAACATTTGAAATTGGAATTCCATTTTGAAAATAATTCTCTCATTTACCAATGGGGGGGAGCCACCTTGCCCACAATCGACTTCTCTTAAACTGTTCTTAAAATGCTATAGCTTGTGGCCAGACTATAATCTGCTTTGGGTGCTTTTTGAATTAATACAATCACTCTAAGATAACAGTCTCACATGGTTTTCCCCCTTAAGCCTGGTGCTTGTAAATCCTTCCCCTACTGTTGCAATTTCCTTCTAGCTGCACTCTTACAGCCCTTCCCCTCAGAAGTGATAATTTCCTATGCAAAGTGAGTATCTGATCAGATGGTCAATTTTGCACAGAAGCTTCATGCCTTCCAGGCATGACTAACTCCTCCTCTAAAAGGCAAATGCAATATGTTAAAAGCAAACATTCAGACTTCATACAGGTCTCTGGAACTGCAGGGTTACTTTGCATTCAGAATGATTTTGCATCAGACTGTATACTTTTGTGCAAGAACAGCACAAAAAAGAACTCTGTGGTGATCCTCCTCTTCCCCCTCGTATCTCACAACCTCCTTTAAGAGTTCATTTAGAGAAATACTAAAGTGTGTAATTGGTTTGGTTTTGGCTTAACATAATTTCAAAAGCCAGTTATATAGCTTATTATGTTGTGTGAAGCCATCTAATAATGGCTTGGGCAACAAACAATGGCCAAGTGAACTTTGGCTAAATAAGATGTATGAATTTGTTTTATGATTTACAGGCTTGTGTCAATCCAGCTAGAGCACGGAGCTGGTAAAGCTATGTAAGTAACTTGATAAAATAAGGCTTTAGTCTTAGCCAAATTTATTAGAATCAAGGCTTCTAGACAAGTATGCATAGGTTTGTGGTGTCAATGCTGATGCTCCTTCTAATTCAGTACTTTCATGATTCTGTTTATGCAACACTTTGTAATCAAGGTTTCTGGGGATTTAAGAGGCGTTACTACCGCCCCTTCTCTCCTCATATACCAGCATGCCATGCAGAGTTTAAATCATGCATAACTTTGCTCAGCAGTGTACTGCAGGGAGAAACTACTAAATCTCTGCCCATCATGCATCTATTGAAAGCATAGGAGTACTTTCAAGAAAAAAAAAGTCTGCAGGCCTCCTAGAGAGCTGTTTTCATGAATATCGTTTTGCCTTATGATCCTGTCAAATTGCTCTAGCTCTTGGCCCTTGCAACCTGCTGTTCCTGTAACATACCTCAAAACAACTTCACATACATTATTATTCTGCCATATCCTGCAAAGTCAAATACCCTTATTATCCTCATAAGGGAATATAAGAACAGCCACTAAATTTACAATTTACCCATTGAAAGTTACATCATAAATTCTTGTAAACTCTGTATGCCATCTGAAAAATGAAGTACTATACTAGACCTGGCCATAATTGAAAGCCACACAATAGAGAGGTTTACAGTTTTTATGAAAATACAACTGAAGAATGTAAACAATTAGGTTGTATGTTTTGCTCACTAACTGGGAAATGTCAGTGTACCCTATTCTCTATATTCCAGTATCAGTATTTATGAAAAAAAACTCTTTCCAAGTACAAATACATTAAACCTTTCAAAATTCTGAATGTGAAAAAAGAAAGCCAAAACCTGTTGAGACTTTACAGAATAAACAACATAGATTAGTATGTTTTCCATTCCATGTATATAAACAAATATGAAGGAAAAATATGTTAAAGAAATTAAGCAATGGTTATTGTCTACAGTACATTTGTAAGATAAGGTGAACTTCAGCACAAGTAGATGAAATTCAATATTTCCTACTATGTATTAGAAAAACTACTTCAGAATCTAACTCCTTATAAAGTCATGTTCTACAGAAATAGCTTCTAAAATAGTGTCTAAAACATTCCCATGTTCTGGCCACAATTCACTCAGCCTGCTATACCATTTAACATGCATTGTGTTATGTCTAGTAAGTAATCTTTTTCAAATCAGTTACCCAAATTCTTACAAGCACATAGTTGATGGGAAGCTTGCTAATTGCCATAACCAATTAAGCAAAGCTCCTTAGAGAGAAATACATGTAAGCGCCCATCCTAAAACTTATTCAGGACATAAGTGTAGGATTTGGACACAAAGCTAAGCTAAGCATACTTAGAAGAGAAAGAAATGGGCATACTGAATAAACACACACACAATTCAGCAATTTCATGGAAGCCTTAGGCTATGTATTTTTGTTTGTTTCTTGGTGTATTTATTCTCACAGTCTATACCTAATGTTTTTAAAGTATTAAAGAAAGCACCTCTCTCCCGTAAAACATGCTTGCCTCAAAAAAACAAACAAACCACAAATTCAACTTTGCCTAATTCATCCACAAAGCTCTGGTTTCAATAGGTCTGCCCCATTAGAAGAAATTACCACTTCGTCTTTCTCGCAAGAACAAAATTAAGCCAGTAGGTGCAATTTACACTTGACTTCCATGTTTTTGGGGCGCTACTCAAGTGGCTAAAGGTATGCTTGCCTTGCAGCCATTAACGGGCATAGGCGCCCTGTATAAATAAAACATGGCAACCTCACGGCTGAACGATGGTTGGTTCAAACATACCTTCGTTCCGTTCCAGACATTCAATACAGCAGTAAACTACTATTTAAAAATAACTACCGTTCACGCTAACTGAATTCAACCCACAGCACTGTCAGAAAGTCAGAAAAGCACTGCTCGGTTGGAATAATCGGAGCAGGAGGGACACGAGGCGCTGTCATCGCCCTCGGCGCCTTTGCTCAGGTGAAAGACTGTTGCTTTTAGGGAATGGCGATCTAAGATGAAGGCGGGAGGGCTGGTACAGGGGTCCTCTTTAAGCCACATGAGAAGTCGGTGAGGAGGGGGAAACGCGTTGGGCTGCTTGGTTTCTTTCCGGGGCCCAAAGAGGCAGCCCCGTCGCCTTTGGAGCGATATCATTTCACCTTTCTTTCCACCCGCTGCAAAGCCCATGCAGCGTTATTCTGCACGCCTTCCTTACAGCCCAACCGTGCCCCAAAACCGCCCCTGCTGAAACCGGCCCCCGGCCCGCCCGCCCCTTCCATCCAGTGCAACGCGTGCCTTTCGCCAGCCTCCCAGCCCCACGGCTACGCGTGCACCGCCGATACTCTCTGCACACGCACACGCACACACGCGCCACCTCCCGGGCCCAGACCTGTGGCTCGATGTAGGGATGCCGGCGATGGAAGCAATGGGATGCTACGGCGGGGGGGAGGCGGGGGGGGGGGGGGGGGGCGGGGAGAGAGAGTTGAGAAGGGAAAAGAGACCGCCGGCCTCACTGTGCCCTCCCCGAACCCGCCCTTTCTCTGCCCGGGGCTGCCCGGCCGCTGTCAGGGCTCGGTCGCTGCGCTGGCGGGAGCATGGTCTTGAGAAGCAGCGCGGCCGGGGCAGCCCCACTGACTGGGGATGGATGGATCGACAGACCGAACCGACCCGCTGCCTCTCGCGTCACCGCGGTGGAGAAGCGCGTTCAGCCGCAGTCCTTGCGGGGGAGGGAGGAGGAGGAGGAGGGAGTGCGATTGGGAGGGGAGCGGGCAGGGCTGCTCGTGTGAAGGAGCGTCGAAGTGGGCGCGCGGAGAGAGACGGGCAGGCAAAGCCTCCGGGCGGAGGTCTGAAGGGGAAGGAGAACCTCGTAGGGGTTGCAGGATACTGACACGGTCGATCTTCTGTTTATTCAGTGAGTGGCCCTCTCCTGAGCCTTGGAGGTCGAACAGTCGATCCCCATTGTATTTTTCACCCCCTTTGAGAGAGAGCGGAGAATCGGAGGGAGGAAACCGGAGCCCCTGCGCCCGATCAACTTAAGGGGAGAGGGCTGCAGTTCAGAGGGAAGGCGGCCGTGCCGGCATCGGGCAAGTGAGGAACTGGCTGGAGAAGCAAGCGCAGCGTCCGGGTCCCTAACCCCCGGGGGTCTTCCCCCCCCCCCCCCCCCCCCCCGCTTCATTCACAGAGTGCGAGGCGAGTCCCTTTTTTTAGCACGGGCGTAGGTTTCCATAGAAACTGCGACCCAGAACTTGCAAAGTCTCGGCACCTCCGAGCTCGCTCTTCCCCGCCCATCCTTCTGTGACTTCATTGCTCGTTACCATGGGAACGCTAGTGACGTCAGATCCCAGTGACATCAAGGACTCAAGGAATGGCAAGCTCTTTTGAAACCGTTCAAATAAGCTTGGTTATTTGTGTTCGGTGGGGCTGCGCTTAGAAAAACGGCAGACTTGAGGTCTAGTCTAGTCCTACTTTAGGCGTGAAAGCTTACTGCGAGATTGTGAGCCTGTCGTACGCTCTCTCTCAGCTCCGACCCACTTGTGAGGAAAAGAGGAAGCAGTATTACGCCTTGAATTACTTATAAAATAATAAAGGCGGGGAAATATCGAATAATGAAATAAGCCTGCATGAATAAATAGCAACTGAATCAGAAATACATTTGCATTAAGACCACATTCAAGAGACCCCTTCACCATTTTTAGAGGAAACCGTTTACTGTCTGTTTAATTTCCCAAATAGTGGATCATTGACACACCCAGCATCTCCAGACCCCAACCTACTGAAACACACTGGGATGAAATAAAACCAAGAAACACCAGCTTTTTAAAATTATATTAGCCTTTGGGTGGAACTGGAGCTTTTGCCAGGATAAATTCTTCCTCAGCTTGAGCTTGGAATCTGGTCAACTCCATATTATTTTCATGGCAACAGTAGGGAAATTGTTTGCATTGCTTTTTTTGTGGGGTGTTTTCCAGTTCCTCATCTAGCCTGTGATTTCTTGGTAGTCTCCTATCCAAGTATGAACTGGTCTGGCTCCAGTTTTTCTGACAGCAGCCATAGTTGGTTAAGCATGATTACCTAACATGATGAGACCTTCTGTTATATGTTAGCAAAAATAAATCAATAAAATCTCAGATTAGTGCTGTTCAAATATTATATAATGCCACAGAGATGACTTGGAGAAACCATATGGAGTTTGTTACATCATGTTCAAAAACATCACTGGAGTCTGAAAAATGGAATATGTTTGGAAAAAACACACGACTCCTCCTTTACTCACTAGGATATAAGGGAAAATGCATTCAGGCTTGCAAGACTGATGTCAGACCTTTGAAATAAAAAACAGGCTCCATATAGAACTATGATATAGGCTATTTGTGACAGAATCCTGCAAGCATGCCTAAATACAACTATCTAGAAGCTGCAACTTCTCTAGAATGTAATGGCACATCCTGGATACTCTGCAATTTGTTTCATTGCATCATTGCTGTGCAAGCTGCACTGGCTGCCAATTGCTTTCCGGGTCCAAGATGTTGATGACCACCTTTAAAACCTTCATGGTACATGGCCGGTTATCTGCTGGACTACCTATCTTTGGGGGGTATCTACCCATCTCACTAGGTTAGAAAGGACGGACACACCTCTAAACTTTTGTCATCGAGTGGAACCTCAGAAGGGCAGATTTTCTGTAGCCATCTGGGCTTTTGAAATAGCCTCCAACCTGAGATTGAGAGGGCCTTTATTCTTCCAGAAAGCCAAGAAGACCTGGCTCTTCCCCAAGCATTCAGCTAGCATGGAAAAGAGTTAGGGAGTCAACAAAATGGATGATTCTGGCACCTTGGCAGGAAGGGTATGATGGTTTTTAAGGCAAGAGATGTATATGATTTGGGGTGGAACCAGGTACAGCATGTTGCTTTTTTATTGGTTGCTGTGAGCTGCCTAGGAGTACCGTGTGAGGCCAGTGGACATATTCATTTAAATAAAATAAAATAAAATGTGCAGTTTGGAGGTTATCCTTGACTCTCAGCTCTTGTTTGAGGAACAAGTGCCATTGTAATTGAAGATGTTTTACACAACAGATGTGCCAATTGTGCCCTTTTCTGGATCAGAAGGCACCACTCACCATTATTCATACTTGAACAGCTCTCAAGTAGATTTCTGCAATATGCTTTACATAGACCATCCAGAATGCAGCAATGTGTGCTCATCTCTGTGCCCACCTCTGCTCTGCAAACTGCACTGATTCTCTATGCTTCCAGGAGCAATTTAAGGTGCTGGTTGTCATATATAAAGCTGTATGTGCCATGGGGCCAGGTTATTTAAGGGATAACTTCTCTCCAATTGATTCTACCTATCCCATTAAATCTGATAAAAGACATGCATCAAGTCCTGGATATCAAATAATTTCATCTAGCAGGAACAAGGAGCGGGCCTTTTCTGTCAGAGTGCCTTCTCTCAAGAACATCCCAATCCCACCTGAGATTCAGTTGGTTCCAACTCTGCTGGCATTTCAGAAAGCTTAAAAACATGGCTCTTTTCCTGGGCATGGGGATTGGGAGTTTAATTGACTTTGTGAGATTAACTAATCACTTGCTAATGATTCATGCTGTCCTCAGTTGCCATTATACTGTATATGTTACTGTTTATTGTGTCTGTGCATTTAACATTATGCCAGCCTCCAGAATCACTATTGAAAAATGAGCAGCCATACAAATTGATTAAAGTACTGTAAATAAATAAAGATTTAAAATATATTTTCTTCCTTATCTTTTCAGAATATCCTTTGAAAAGACATTTGCAATTGTTTTTCAAATATTTGTTAACACATTAGATGGCAAGCAAATTCTAAGAACAAAAACTTATTATTATACTGGGTGAAATTTAAATAAAACTATTCTGGTTTTGTTCCTGTACAACATGGCTACAGGGAAGAAGTGTATTGGCCTGCCTTCATCCCTCTTTTACTGCCATCACTAGTCAGTAGGATCATAGGATGATCAATCTTGTGGTCTTATGTCAGTATCTCATTAAAGCAAAATCTACAAACAGGATTCTGCAAAATTTTCAGGCAACATTTTGCTTCTGAAATTAGGTAAATCCACTCAGATTTTAATTCTGGATATATCAAATCTATATTGATAATAGAGGTAGAGTATTGCAGTGAGTGCTATTTCATGAATCTTTGAGGATTGGTTCCTTGTAAGTATGAGTCTTATTACATGGAAACTGACCAGGCTCTTTAGGAAGCAAGTGGGTGAGTGAGCAGCTGGATTTTAGGTGTGTGAATGTGTATTTAGTATCTCATTAAGAGAAGAGGCAAAGCCTACCTTGAACAAGATAGTATCATGGGCTATCCTGAAAAGAAGTTACTTGGATCTGACCATATTACTCTTATCCAGGTTTGAATCTCTTAAGGTGAAATTTATGGACAGGCTGGGGGCGGGGGTGGGGTGGGGATATTTCAGGCTTGTGCATTGGATTGAATGGCATTGTTTACATTGCATTGGTACTTGGAGATGTATCCCTGCCCATCTGTGATGAATTGTGTCTGTGAAGGAGAAATGGTGTGATGAACTATAGTGAAGCTGCAATTTCCCAGGAAGGAGGGAGCACATTCCAAGAAGGGAGGCGACACAAGACAACCCAGAGCTAGATCACGGAAAGATGAAGAGATTTAGGATAGCCACTCTTTAGAATCTCCTAGAATACATCCATTAAAGTTATAGGTACTGGTAATAGGATAATATTTGTTTAGTCTGGTGAGATTCTGTCTATATGGCAAATAAAGAACTGAACTTTGGCTGGATTGTGCTATGCTGATCATGAGCTGGGCCTGACATTCTTTTAAATTTCTCAGCAACATTTGGTACAATGGATCAAAGTATTGTTCTTTCATCTATTCCCAAACACCTGCAAGGGTTGTCAGTCAGAGGGTTGAAAATCAGAGCCTATTTTACAATGGTTTGGTTCCTTCCTGAGTGATGGTTCCAAAGTGAGGGGGGAGGGAGGAAGGTTTGTCCATTGGTCTCTCCCAACATAGATACTATAGCATTTTTCTTTTTATTCCTCCCATACTGGGTGGGAGGCTACTGGGTGATGTCATTCATTGATTTGGAGTGAGGTGTCATTGATATGCAGATGATGCACACCACCATCCAGAACTGAAACAATGATAGGTGCCCTTTTGTCTGGAAGCTATTTTAAAAAAAAGTATAAGGTTAAGTTACTCTTTGTTCAGCAACCTTATAGCATTCTAGCTGATTCAGTGGTGTCTCTGAACAGGAAAGCACTCCCCAAAAGAGATTCTCCAGATGCTTGGCTATTGCTAATCAGGTGGGGGGGAATGCAGAGAAGTGGACTGGTTTTGGCAGTAATACCAGTAATGACCTTTCTAAAACAAGAAGACTCTGGTTTCTGTGACGTAT